CGCCGAGAGCACACAGCAACACAAGGGAAGGTTTTTGGGGAGGGATCTTTTCAAAAAGATAACTCAGCAGCATCAGCTACTCCCGTGCAGCAAAAACTAAGTGGGAGATGACAAAGTGCCAGGCGCGCATCTGATACAAAGTAACGTTCCGGCTACAGAAAGAGCCCCCTACAGGAGAACAAGCAGCTCCAACTCACCCACGGACAAAGGACTGAACCTCCGTGTCCCGCAATATTGTGGTTGTCAAAACCACAATGAGATGGCTTCACGAACCCCCCGGGGGGGGGGAGGGCTAACACCCTGAATAGAAAAATAACAGACAGAATGGCGGTCATTAAGAAAATAAGTAACTGCAAATACTGGCAAACAGCTGGGCACGGGAGAAACCCATAGGCACCCCAAATGAGAATGCAAGCCAGTCAGTCCCCACTGATGGTCAGGGTCATCGTGGGGGGGGGAGTTCCTCCAAAACATAACAACGCAATACGTCTTTAACCCCTCTTAGTGGGTACACAAAGTCCTCCGGGTCGACATGCCACAGACGGCGCGCGCACGTCGGTGTTGACTGCAGCAAGGATTCGGACGAGCTCAGCCACGGGGCCAACCCAGGTGTCAATCAAGAATTTTCCCTGCATGCACTGTTTGTAATAGCCAGAAACTGGAAGCAACCTAGATGCCCCTCAACTGAAGAGTGGATAGAGAAAATGTGGTACATTTACACAATGGAGTGCTACTCAGCAGGGGGGGGCAATGGAATCTTGAAATTTGCAGGCAAATTGGATGGCACTAGAAGAAACCATTCTGGGTGAGGTAACCCAGTCACAAAAAGACAAGCATGGTATGTACTCACTCATATATGGATTTTAGACATGAATCAAGGGAGTGCCAGCCTACAGTCCCACTGCCAGAGAGTCTGGGAAACAGGAAGGACCCTAAGAGATCTCATGGTACCCCAGAGAAGGTGGAATGAGGCAAGATCTCCTGAGCAGATTGGGAGCATGGGGGGAAGGGGAGAGGGAGCCAGGGATAAAGAGAGGGGGAGAAGAGGAGGGGAGAGGAGGACATGAGGGAGCAGGAAGGTTGAGTTGGGGGAAGAATAGAGGAGAGCAGGATGAGAGATACCATAATAGAGGGAGTCATTTTAGGTTTGAGGGGAGATCTGGCACTAGTGAGATCTCAGGGATCTACAAGGATGACACCAACTGGCAAGCTAAGCAGTAGTGGAGAGACCACCTTAAATGACCCTCCCTGCTAATGATTTTGACGATTATCTTATATACCATCCTAAAACCTCCATCCAGTGACAGACAGAAGCAGAGTCAGACACCCACAGCTGAACACCAAACTGAACTCCTGGAACCCAGTGACAGAGAGGGAGGAGTGATGAGCAAAGGGGTCAAGACTGGGCTGGTGAAACCCAGAGAAACAGCTGACCTGAACAAGGGGGAGATCTTGGACCCCAGACTGATGGCTGAGTGGCCAGCATGGGACTGATCCAGGCCCCCTGAATGTGGGTGTCAGTGAGGAGACCTAGGCAATCCATGTGGGGCTTTGGGTAGTAGATTAGTATTTATCCCTTGCACACAAATGGACTTTGGGTGCCCATTCCACAGTGAGGGATGGTCTCTCAACCTGGACACTTGGGGGAGGGCTTGTGCCCTCCCCAGAATGAAATGATGGACTCTAGAGATCCCCCATGGAGGGCCTTACTCTCCCTGGGGAATGGAGTGGGGGTTGAGGGGGTTGGGGAGAGTGGGCGTGGAGGGGAGGGAGAGGGAGCTGGGACTGACATGGGAAGCAAGCTTGTTTCTAATTTAAATATATAATAAAAAGTGTTAAAAAATAAAAGAATTTGTGCTGCGTGAGTGTAAACTATCCTGAGTCTATTCTAATACGTACTGGTGGTGCAGGGGTTGAAAGCCAGGGAGTCACACTGGAAGGTACAGTTCTTGGCTGGTAGGTGACCAACCAGAAGCACCTGCCCTGCTCTATGCCCCTAGTGGGGCCACAGCACAGGGAGACCTGGCTGCCAGCCTCTATTAAAAGCAGATGTGTGCCTCATCTGGAGGCCAAGAGACCCTCCCCTCTCCCCAACTCCTGGGGAATATTGATGAAACCTTGCAGTCATGGGCTATTTCTGTGTTGTCCTTGCCTGAGTGATCCTTAATGTCACAGAGCTGCTGCTGCCCTGCCGGGGTGACTCAGCCAGGGAAGCCTGGGTCACTCTCCATACCTTTCAAACATCATAAGGAAAGAAGCAGCAGCGGGGGGGGGGGGGGGTAAGCAGATGCGTGGGAGGGCTGACACTTAGAAAGCATAAGTTTAGAAGACAGCAGGGCTGGTAATTCACACCTGGCCAGGTGAGAAGCAGACCCTTAGGTAGAAGAGGCCACGCCACCTCTTCAGAGTCAAAGACTCATTCGCTGTGACATCACACAGATGGCGATCTCCAAACCCCACTACCTATGTGCTGCCAGGTCGTTTCCAGGGCGGGAGGGTTTCATTGACTCTGATCTCCAAGTGCATCATTGTCTGCTTGCTAACAACCCAGACAGCGCAGAAAGATTCTAAATTATTCCAGCTCCATTCTTCCAGCCCTTGTGTTCTTCGGCCCCAGGGCCTTAATCCCTGAAAGGCTTCCTGAATGAGAGCTGCTCCCAGTTGCAGCTGGGCGGGCAGGGCGGAGGACTTTGAGGACAGCGTGCGCGCGCCTGCGCGCGCGGTTGCACAGACCAGCTTTGCAAAGGCTTTCTTTGCTGTTCCTGCAATTCATTTCTTTTAAGAAAGGGGACCGGGGGTAGGGGTGAGGGGTGGGGAGAAAGGCTGCGTGTCCAGGTCTTTGGGCTTCTGATCATTTGACGAACACTGGGTTGGCAACGTGGGCCTCCAGCTTCTCAGGCCAGACAAAGGCACCCCAGCCGCCCAGGACAAAACCCCAAAGGCCTCTTGGGGCGGTGGCCTGGGAAAGGCCCACCTCGGTGTGAGGGGCTGCCTGCCCTTTGATCTCTATGGAGACCCCAGCCGGGACCCAGGTCAGGGTATTTCACACTGCAGCTGCCCCCCACCTCCGCGGGGGAGGGGGGAACAGGTCAGGATTGGAAAGATGGTGATGGATCCCAGAGAGCAGGGAGCCTGCTGGCTCTGACCAGTTCCACATGGATGGGCTTGCATTGTGAGCACCAAGCCCACACTTTAAATGGAATCTGACATTACATGGTAGAACGGAGATGGCGAATGTGGCGAATGGCAGGCCTGGGCCCCTGGACGACAGTTAACCCACCCCCTGGGCCCAACCGACTGACTGGCCTCTCTCATTTCATTTCTCTAGGAGGTGAGTGAATGGAGAGTCACTAAAGACCCTGTGCCTGCCGGATTACACCAACCCAGTGGCCTCCACTAGGGCTCAACCCTGGCTGGCACCTTTAGCACTGGCCCTCCTCTGTTGAGTCTTTTCACACGAGATAAATGCTTGCCAGGGAGCTTGCTTGCTTTCTTTCTTTCTTTCTTTCTTTCTTTCTTTCTTTCTTTCTTTCTTTCTTTCTTTCTTTCCTTCCTTCCTTCCTTCCTTCCTCTTTCTCTTCCTTTCTTCTTTCATCCTTCCTTCCTTCCTTCCTTCCTTCTTTCCTTCCTTTCTTTTTATAGCACACTGTTCGAAAAAGCACCCATGAAAGAAAACATCCAGCTAAAATAATCTATCACTCCGAGGAATTTTGGCGTAACAAAAGGAAAACATTACATTCATGAGAGCAAGTTGAGCATGGGCAATCAGGGAAGAAGTTTGAGTCCCACTGATTGCTACCTGCGCCCGACAACTGCGTGTTTGCTAGGAAAAACATGTTTAAGATCAGTCGGGGCAGCATTAACGGGTAAGAAGACTGAAGAAAAATGCTAAGGTTGTGCTATGCGCCCCTGCCCAGCAACATCACTGAAAACGGTGATGGGGCATCCCTGTGCTTTCTGTGTGTTGCTAAGCAGGCATGGTGGTGCTGGGGCGGGGCTTAAGCCAACATTTGGCAGCCCAGAGAACAGAGCCATTGGCCCCAGGGCCAGTGGAAGAAGCCTGGAGCCTCGGGGTGTCTGAAGTGCTTGGCACTAGCTCCAAAGCCCCTGGCTATGAGTTCAGGTCACTCTCCCCATGCTTGGGGGCCTGTGTGAACCCTGCTTCATCACTTCATAGTCTCCCCCTCTTCCCTTTTCCTTCTGCCCTTCTGACATCCCTTCTTTCTCTTCCCCTTCTTTCTCTTCCCCTTCCCTTCCTTCCTCTTCCCCTTCCCCTCCTTCCTCTTCCCCTTCCTCCCTGTTTCCCCTCCTCTGTTTCCCTTTCCCTCTTCCCTGTTTCCTCTTTTCCTCCTCCCTCTGCCTCTCTCTCTCTCTCTCTCTCTCTCTCTCTCTCTCTCTCTCTCTCTCTCTCTCTCTCTCTCTCTCTCTCCTCTCTCCTTTCCCCTTCCCTACATTTCCTTTTTCTTCTTGCCAGAGGAAAACAGAGTCAGGAATGCCAGCTGTCTTGTGAAATGCACAAGAACCCATCTCTACCATCAGGATCTGTTACGGTGGCACACACACACACACACACACACACACACACACACTCCTCTGTACAAAGTCTGCATGCTGACCTGTTTGTGACTGAAGGAGTCAGGCAACCGAACCACATCTTGCAAAAACCAGTTAACAGCAGCAGAAGGTTACACAAGGTACTCCAAGGCTGTCTTGACGTGCAGCAATACTTGGAGGTCCAAGGCTGCCCTCTGGCCCTCCTCGCACCAGCATCAAGCTGCATGGGACAGGTCCTTACTGAAGACCCCACTACGGGCACCAGTACCACCAAAAGTACAAGGGCAAACCTCAAAATACACTTGCTGCCGACAGCCTCCACACGACTCGACTCGGGAAAGGGACAAAAATAGGGCTAATTTCTTTTTTTCCCCCCAAGGCCTCCTGTGAACAGCGCTTCCTCCCCCCCCCACTGTTGCTATAGCAACACCATCCCATCCTCTCACCTTTGGCCATCTTATTGAGAACCATGTCAATCAGGACGTAGGTTCCACTCCTGCCCGCGCCGTCACTGTCAACAGAAGGAGAGAGAGTGAAAGGCTGCCTGCCCTGGGTGTGAGCGCGGGCTTGGCAAAGCCATCAGCCAGGTCTTTCCTCATTCTCAAGTGGGGAGAGGGAGGGCAAAGGGGAGAGACACACACTCAGCGCAGGAAAAGAAAGAGGGGCCGGGAGGGGCCTCGATCGTTCTCTGGGTGCTGGCTCTCTTCTCTCTAGGAATGGTCCTCTCTCTGAGCGCTGTTTCTCCCCCTCCCATCCTTTATCCAGAGGCGAGGTTGATTTTCTCAGAAGCTTGCGGGTATTACATGGTCTTTTGACTTCTGCTGGTAGCATCCCGGGACTCCAAGCCAGCAGGGGGCCAGGTGGAGCAGGATAGGGCAGCTGGTTGCAAGGGCAGGTTGGTCATTCCACGCCTCTCAAGTGGTTGTCCTGTCCTTTCCGAGGCACCCTCCCTCAGGCATGGGGGTGGGGGAAGAAGTGTACCTTCATTCATTACTTGATCGCAACCTTCCAAAGGCATCCTCTGGTCGTGTCTCTCCCACCCCACCAGCTGTAACACCAGGACCAGAGCTGCGAAAACAGAGCTCTGAATCCTGTCTCTCCAGTAGCAAGTAGAAAAGACAGGAGAACCCCTTTTCTGTGGGGAGAGTGGCCGAACATCATCTGTCACAAGGGCCACTCGTGAGATCATCTCCTCCCTCAACGTAGATGCCATCACTGTGTCAATTGTGAGTTCTTGACACACTTTTTCATCCAGCTGGGCTTGCTCTCACAAATGCAGGATGCTTCACGTGTGGACTTCGAGCAAAACCAGCTGCGACTTGAAGGGGAGGGTAGGCACCTTGGCTCCCAGGGGACCCCAGGCAACACTTTCAGACAGAGAGTCCTTGCTTTTGCCATTTGGGATCCTCGGTGCCCTGACAAGGGACCGCTGTTGACATCCTTGAGCCCAAATGTGGCTCGCTTCTGTGTGTGGTACAGTTTCAGGACATTTTAAAGACATGTTACAAAAGTCTTCCAACAGACTATAGCTTATCTCAGTACATTTGCAGGTGAAAGATGCCGTGTTCTACATTATGGGACACAAAACCACAGGCGATGTTCGCTCCCTGCTCAAAGGCATTGCACAGATGTTCACGCACACACGCACGCACGCACACATGCACACGCATGCACACGCACTTGGTGCTTGACTTTTAGGGTCAGATCTTGTTTTCGTTCCGGGCAGAGACAGTTCCAGGAAAACGGAGAGTGTGACATTTTTCACCACGGCCGGTTGAGCACGGAGTCCAGTAGAGACAGAACCTTTGGGCCGAATACGGTCTGAATTCTCACTGAAGTTTTGCAAAGGCTCAGACAGGGAGAGCAGGAGCGGTGGTGGTGGCTATCCCTGTCTTTACAGACTGTTCCCAATGTACCTCCAGGCATTTTCCACCTTGGGATTAGGATAAGTGTGTGTGCTCGACACCTGGGGTCCCAAGTTTTCGTGGCACCATGAGGGTTTGTGGGGGGATAAGGCAGTTGTGTGTGGGCATTAGAAACAGGAGACAGGCCACGGCACCCTGTAGTCCATGTGCAGTGGCAAAGACCCACAGCTTCCTCAAGCTTGTGCCTACGGTTTTCCTTAGAGAGACAGCTATATACATTCGCCAGGCAGTCAGAAAGCTCAGCCCGCACCGTCGTCTTGAAACAACAAATCTTAACCCACGTTAAAAGTTATACTTGCCTGCAGTGAACAATTATGGGACAAGAGCGGCCTCTGTAGCACTTGTTTACTTTTCTGAAATAAAAAGAGATGGAGGTTAGGGTGGTGTGCTGAGGTTCTGTCATCCAAACCACAAACAAAGCCCCAGAATAAAGTCCGTGCATCTGTATAATCTTTTTTTTTTTTTTGCAATAGCTTGTTGGGACACAGAGAGCAAGAATTTACATATCTAACCCGATGATCCCCCCCCATTTCCAATGGCAACTTGGTAAATGAGCTTTAGGAACACATCTTGCAAGTGCATGGTGGGTACTCTTCCTCCCCTTGCAAGGGTGAACTCCAGGCTTTGGCCACAGGTGCAGGAGCTAGGTGCCTCCTGACCTCACCCCCTCAGGCCCTCTCCCTGCCCCATCCCCATGTGTGCCCCTAAGTGTGGCTCCTGGGACTAGACTCCTGTTGGGAAACTCCCAGTTTTGTACCATATGCTAGAATCTCCTGTAGTCTCTCTGCTCATCATACTGAAATATAATATTTTTTTATCTAAACACAGCATCCTAAAGATCCTATCTGATCCATTAACTTGAGGTGAGGGTATGCAAATTATGACAAACACCCCAGGAATTTTTTTTCTGATTTTCTACAATCTACATCGGAGTGTTTTTTTTAAATAACTCCACCGCACAAGTTTCAAACAGCACTTATGAGCAATTAACAGTGAGGTGTTTAAGGTGTTGTTGACCAAACCATATCTCATCCACGGGGCTGGTTTCAATTCACCGTGCAGACTCCAAGAGTTACTTGTTTTTAACTCAGTGGAACAACTAAATAAGTGTCCAAGGCACACGGGAAGTTGCCAGCAAAATATTCTTATCGAGGAAAGTAAAGACAGTTTTCTGGAAGGGGTCGGGGTGGGGTAAGTGTGACAAGGGTGCGTTCTAGAATGTGCTGTGTGACCCCCTGCAGTGAGACTCAAATGAAGGAAGAGGGGGGAAAAAAAGACAATACAGAAAAAGAAACGTTTCCCCCTTGGGCCAGAATATTGGCGCGTTTCTTTGCCTCCAATGCACTGTGATCGCGAGGGGAGGGCGGAAATCAATCAGCCCTGGCTGCAAGCTCACAGGCAGAGAGGCCTGGTGAGGGGAGTGGGCGGGGCGGGGCGGCGGCCTGCGTCCTATGGCTCCCTGCACAGAGTAGATAGGGGGCGGGGCCCCGTGCACTGACTGAGTTGATAATTCAGTGTCAGGCAGCGCGATAGCAGAAGCCTTTTTTTTTTCTTTTTTCTTTCTCCTATTTTTCGACTTCTACTGCAGTGTTACTAGACTTAGGTACTTCTGATAGAAGTCTGAATGCCTCCCCCCCCCAACCATAAGGGGACCAGGGGATGGGAACTGCAGGGCAGCCTGGATAAGATGCGCCCGCCCCCCTACAGACAGGTCGCGTTCAAAGCTCTGTTTTGGCTGCCCTTCATCTGTGGCTGCTCTCTCTCTAATCTGCAAAGACCTGCCGTTGTATCTTTCAGTCTCAGGACCACCCGCCGAGGCTCCGAAGAGGGGGCGTGCTCAGAACCAAGGGGAGGGGGATTAAAACAAGTAAGCTCTCTCCTGGCCCTTTCTGAGGGAGACTTTCGTGGCCAGGTACTGTGAGTTCTCGGAAAGAGGTCAAAAGTTAAGAAGCAAACTCCCTGAGCAACAGCAGCGCCCACAGACCAGGATGCCCGGGAAAGGCTTGGTCCTCGGAGAATAACTGGAAGCAGACCCAGTAGCCTTTCTGGCTGAAGTCCCCTGTTCCCTGCCAGGTTCCCTCCTGACACAAGGGGCTGTTAAAGTCAGAGCCACGGAGCTGCTGGCCTCGGTAGAACCTGTGCACGTGGGCTGTGGTGTGGCTGTGATGGAGCCCTGGCCTGGCAGGCCCGCTACTGAGATGGCTTTCCTCCCTGTGCAGACGAACCCCCTGCTAGCCCCGGGTCACTGCATGCTTGGCTACTGTGGGTTGGGCAAGCATCCGCCTTGCCCCGCAAGACCGCTAGTCATCAGGTAAACTCTGCTCTGCTTTCCTGATGAGACCTAGCATAGAAGATGCGCATTGAGAAACCGGGCAAGGAATCTGTAAGGGGAGCATGGTTAACTGCTCAGCAGGAGCACCACTAACTGCTCGGCACCCACTCTGGTAAGAGTGTGACCCAGGCTAAGTGGCCACCACTCAGAGCGATCTCCAATCCAGGGGGCGGGGCACCTTTAGGCTACAGGATGCTTAAGGGATGCCTGCTTCCGATTGGCTGCCTCAGGAGGCCCTTGGAGAGATCTCACTGTAGTGGTCACACCCACGCCAGACCCGCCCTGTACCATATTTACACTCAACCCCCCTGGTGGGGGGTGGCCAGGTAGGAGACACGGTGGAAATAACTTGTGGCTGTGGCGGTGCAGCTTGGAACTTTATTAACGAAGAACCATGGGTTATTACAGCGTGAAATACCACAAATAGAAAAGTGAAAGCAAAAAAAAAAAAAAAAAAGTAAAGAAAAGAAAAGTCTACACATGGAGCCAATGTGTTCATCCGAGGACCTGGGATGCAGGGTGCTGGTTATTCGTGAAGATGAGCAAGGCACGGTTGTCTCATTTTGGTCTTAGACAGGTCGTCAATAAAGCGAGGGTCCTCCAACACTGAGCGGACATGGATACCACCACTACATGGGCTTTGGCAGGAGGATTTCCCCCGGAGAAGGAACCGTTAGCAATACAAACCAACCCTCAGGTCATTGAGTGAGAAGGAGTCGCCATGCAAACGGTCAGCAAGCAAAGTCAGGTCGTTAGAGGCTCAGAGAGGGGCCCCGTGTCCCTGAAGCAGTCACAGTTTCCAATGATCACTTTTGTGACTATGCAACTGGGCTCATATTACTAGCTGCAACATCACAAAAATGACACTGGCCACCGCTAAGTAGCTGGCAAAGTAAGGGTTTGTCGGTTTTTTATTTTTTTATTTTTGACAGCGAGTAGCATTAGTGGGTGAATGGAACACAGTGGAGTAGGGAGGGAGGGAGGGAGGGAGAAGGGGAGTGGAGAGAGAGAGAGAGAGAGAGAGAGAGAGAGAGAGAGAGAGAGAGAGAGAGAGAGAGAGAGGAGGCAGGAGAGGAGAGAGGTTTGTAGAGACAAGCCCTCACATGTGACTCTAATTATCTCTTAGCAGTTTCTCTTTAAAGTGTAAATGTGTGCCCCTGGGCTCCAGAAACAGTTAATTACACATCGGTGGGTGCAGCCTGAAGCACACCCCAAGCCTGCTGACAAGGCGAGGCTATTGTTCCCAGACTAGAACTCCCCTCCCCTGAACAAGGTGGGGTTCACAAGGGTGGTTTCCTACCCCTCCAGCTGCTGGCAAGGGCAACTCATTTCTAAGGAGGGGGAGGCGGTGTGGGTGATCATTCCTGCCAATTCTCCAGGATGGTGTGAAGGGAACCTCGTCTGGGCTACTGGGTCCTGACCAGACTGACATCAGCTAAAGTTTCCTACCTCACTGGAGTTGACAGGCTACTTTCTTTATAGTGTCACAGGCACACCTTGGATCGAGTCTCACCAGACTCTGGAGCTAGCTGGGGGAGACCTGGGGGATCCCGATTTCTCCAGGATGTGTCATAAATCCCCGAGGGCTGGGTGTGGGTAGGTTCCAACCCATATATGAATACAGGCATGGGGCCCGTACACATATATGCGCAAACCCCTTGGATGAGCTTGGAGAGGGCAGCGAGAAGGACAGCCACCTCTGCATGGCCGCATCCACTTTGCAAGTCCATGAGCAAGAGATTCTCTGTGCATCCTAAGATTCTCTGTGTATCCTGGGAAGGGTCTACCTAGTATCTAGGCAACTAGGGCAGGGAGAAAGGAGCTCTCAGGTTCTGAACGTACCTCCAGGGGAGGTGACAACTGGGCAGGAGCCGCTGGCCTTGATATCAAATCCCTGTCTTTCCTCAAACTCGTTCACTCACGGAATTTCTTTCCTAAGCATGATCCAGGTGAAGAACTTTTATTCCCAGCACTTGGACCTCAGAGGCAGGCAGATCTCTGTGAGTGGGAGGCCGGCCTCGCTAACGTCATTCCAGAGGAGGCGGGGACTAAGCAGGGAAACCCTGTCTCTCTCTCCACCCACCCCCAGTTTTTTTCAAAGGGGTTTCATGATCAGCTTATGCATCTGTAACGTACAAGTTCGAGCAATGCAGGTCGATCTTGGTGCCACTTTCAATACTCCTTTTAGCCTTCCTGCAGGGAGAACTCGTGTGTCCCATCATCTGGTGACAGACACGGTGCCCTAGTTCTCTGGTTCCCTGTCTGAGAACTTTCTGGGTGGGTGGGGCTTCCAGTCAGCTACAAGTGGGATAATACGGACACGGCAGTGACGTGGAGAGGCAGCAGCGGAGGACTCTTGGCCGCTGTGTGTGGCACTGAGCTCTCACCAGCGCGTGGTGTGCGAACAGCAGCATGCATGCCTACCTCACATTTTACTTCTTTTTCACATTGTCAGTATCTTCCTTTAAGGAAGCCCCTAAAAGCCTAGCATTCATCTCAACCGCTCAATAAAGACACTTTGCAAATGAGACAGTTCCTTTTTTTTTTTTTTTTGTGGCTGGCTGGCTGACTAGGGCAACAAACAACAAACAAAAAAATAAAGTACATTAAAAAGACTGCCGGTTTCAGAACTGTACCAAACACAAAACACATTCGTGCGCTAACCAACCGCATTTGGGCTTTTTTTAGTCAAGGCTATCCATTCTAGAATCTGGCCTTTGCCTGAAGAGATTTCCTTAGCCTGACGGGCGGACAAGTAGCCAAATCTGGCTTGACTACCAAGACTTTTCGGACTATAGATCTCGGGTGGGCTACGGAATGCTACTGAATTGTGACCACACGTCCAGAGTTCTACGATGCCTGCCGCCCCCCCCCACACATTTAACACCACGAGTGACAGAAACTGGCTCACGCTGAATGCTGGCGCTAGCTATACCCTTCCCTCTCTCCCTTCCTCTTCCTGCCCAGTTGTTATGTTGCAGATATAGCATCTTAATAACAATAATAATAAACCCAGAAACCTGGCCCAACCCGCGTGCCCTCGGGCTGTCCGTGCTCGCTCCACTCGCAATGGCTTGCCAGCCTGCTCTTTGTTTTACCTTCGGAAATCCAGGAGCGACCTCGTGGAGGAAGGGACTCCCTGGTCATACCAACTCAGGAAGTGGAACTGGGTCACCGTGCGGGTCTCGTTGGTCTGCAGGTTCTTCAGGTAGAAGCTCCTCACCAGGAAGTCCTGGCACCAGATGTGCTCGGACACTAGATTGACCTGGCGGGGACAGGACAGCAAAGCGTGTGAGCCCAAGACTACCAACACATTGGTGTGTTTGGGGAGAGAGGGCGAGGAGACAGATGGGGGGGGTTTGGTTTGCGCCAGGCTCCCCTCTTCATTCTGTTTTAACCCCGGTGTCTGGTATACATCAGAGGACTTGAGACTCAACAGACAGTGAGAGGAGGGACCTATCTCCCCCCCCCACACACACACCCCTGCCCACCACCAAGTTAAAGCCTATGGCTTGCTAGCCATATTCTGTTAGGGCTCCTGTCAAGCCTCTAACTTGCGCCCCCCCCACCCGTGTGAGCCGTTTGCCTCTGATTTTAACGAGCAAACAGCCAGAGAAGCTGTTCTAGTCCTAGCTTGAACACCCCAGTAATTGCTTTTATTCAAGCATGTGTAGGAAACCCAGCAAGAGAAATATATCCCTTGCAAGAAGGGCAAATACTATAGACCCCCATGGCTCAGGCAAGAAATCCCACCAGCTACTCGGACACGGGCAGTGTTCTCTGTGAAAATGGATGCTTGTTATCCGGACCTGGGCCGCCTTTGCAGGGCGGGCATTGCTCTCCTCACACCAGCCTTTAGGGATATACGGTTGTGATATGGAGTCCCTGCATTCGCTCCCGAGTTTATCCCCAACCATGTGGCCACGTAGGGCATTGGGTCTCTGTCGGCTGCGCAGCATCTAGACCCCTCTGAAGTCGAATGTGCGAGCAATCCACCCTGGGGATGTCCTGGCCCCACAGAGCAGCTTGGTTGGGCTGATGACGGGGGTGAGAAACACTTGCACTTCTTGCCCAGGTCCCTGAGTAGGCGCCGAGTCCCCAGTACCTCATAGACGTGGTAGAGGTTGGAGCCTTCATCAGGCCAGTAGTGGTGGCACTGCCGGACGCCGTTCTCCGTGAGGGGTGTCAGCATGACGATGACTGCACAGCCACTCTCCCACACCATCTACAGATGACACAGACCCTCAGAGACCATCCACAGCCACCCCACTCCTGGGTGAACTCATTTCTCTCCTTGGATCCTGCGGCTGCTTCACGCCTCTGAATACACTAGCCCCGTGTTCTACAGGTTCCATGAGATATTAAAAAACAAAAGCAAAAACAAAAAAATGCTCAGTGAGTTTCATTCTCAACCAAGCTGTGGCCTTGGCTGGACTGGAACTCACTCTGTAGACCAGGCTGGCCTTTAACTCACAGAGATCCGCCTGCCTCTGCCTCCTGAGCGCTGGGGTTAAAGGCCTGTGTCACCATGCCCGACAACTTTTTGCCTACAAAGGAAACTTTCTAGAACATAACACAAAACCAGGCTCCGAGTGGACACAGGCGGTTTGCTCACATGGTTACTAGGAAGCTGCCCTCCTGCACAGAGCCTGCTCCCAGACACCGTGATGGGGTGATTATCTTGCTTGCACGAATAAAGCTCGTGTGGAGATCAGAGGATGGAGCTGGCCACTAGCTAACCATAGAGGTCAGGAGGTCTTGTACAGACAGACAGGAAGTGAGATGGCTGTGTGGAAACAGGAAATGAGATGGCTGAGCAAAGGCAGGAAGTGAGAAGGCTCCACGGGGAAAGGGTACAAGCCGGGGGCCAGGAACTCGCTCTCCTTTCCTCTGGGAAGCTAATGAGGTAAAGGTGGCTTTGGCTTGCTCCTCCTTCTCTCTGATCTCAGCATTTTCCTCTGTATCTGGCTGGCTCCAAAGGGTTTTTATTGTTCAGACCGATTAAGAACTCCAATTACACTGCTGACACCATGCAGATGACAATGACCCCAGAACTCAGTCGATAATTTACAGGAGCCACATAAAATTGCTCCCAGCCACAACAAACACACAAGTGCTTGTTTGTCATTGAGAAAAGCACCCCGCCACCACATTTGCCAACACAAGCTATCACTTTGAGGTGTGAACCTTTATGGGTGAGTTACCCAGGCATGGCTGGGGCAGACTTTTGTCAGCACAGCACAGTAAGCTCAGAGCGAGGAAGGCTCCGATTTCCTTGCCCATGCTCTGAACAAATGTCGCAGAACTATCTACAGGTGTAAAATTGGTATCCAGGGGAGCTTTCCCTCCTTTTAAGTGCAGATGTAAAAATCCGATTGAGGCCTTATTATTTAAGGGACGCCCGCATCTCACACAGAAAATGCTTTCATTCATGTTATTAAATCCCTCCATTAAATTACATCTTAAAAAGTCAGACGTATGTGCAATGTTTTTTTCTCCTTCCACATCGATTTACGTTCCCTCGGGACCGAAACGGTCAATACTCTTAAGGCGTCTCACTGTGTATCGTTTATATTGGAATTTAATGGAACCTCCTGAAGTATTTACGGGGGAAAAAAACAAGCCCGCAAATAAGTATGAATCGCACTTGAGCCCGCACACTTCTTTCTGCCTTGGTGACCCAGTCCGGCGAGATGAAAATTCTGAGCCTGTTTCCACACGGCAAGCTCGGCCGACCTGCTCTGCCGAAACCAGGGCTTTCCCATGGCGGAGCGAATTACTGTGCCTTCGGAAAGTGGAGGCGCTCGTTGAAAGCCATTACAAAAATGAGGAGAAACACAGATTTTATGAGTGTAATAAAAGTACAATGATGTAGACCATAAACCACCATCTAGTACTCTGCCTGCACTGCTGTGTGTGTGTGTGTGTGTGTGTGTGTGTGTGTGTGCGCGCGCGCGCGCCTCGCAGACGCAATAATACCAGGTCCTTCATTTGCAGAGTGGTCCTCCAGGTTCTACGGGGGTGCTCTGATTGGTCTGCACACACACCACACACACACACACACACACACAACGCTTCCTTCCAGGGCCCCTGCCTGGCTCTCTGAAGATTTGGTTAAGATTAAATCCAAATGAAACTTAATTTAAACAAACAATCTCAAAGGCACCCCGGGGGATAATACTTTTTAGGTCAGTGTACATGAAGGCAAAGAGGGAATTTACTAAATCAGATAGATTGGAGCCTAACTGGGCACTGATTTCAAATTTCCTTGAGTCCCTTCTCCGGGCAGGAAACCAGTTAAGGGCCCTCACAAGTCTGCCCCCCAGCTTTGGTCTTCATCAACATTGCCTGCCAGGTGCAACCCTGGAATATGGTAAAAGATTTTAATTCAGCTCCCTTGGGTGGGGATAGAGTCAGTTTTAGTTTCTCTCTATTTCTTCGTCTTGGCAGGCTTCTCTAAAACCATAAATCAATGTAATTCCTCGTAGTTCTTGTACTTTTGTCTGAACGCCAGAGAATATAATATTTTATGACCTCCGCATCTTTCCAACACACTAATCAGCCTCCCCCCTACATGGGAGGCACTTGGGTGGAGACCTCCAGTGAGGCAGGGGATTCCCATCACAGGCAGGGTGCTTTGGTTAAGTCGGGTGTCTGCACTCCCGCCAATGACTGGCGGCATCACACTTGCCAGGGAGTGAGCAAGCAGGTCTTCTTCCATCGGCGGGTTGAAGCCAATCTGCTCGGGTGGATTAGGAGGGAACCTTTGGTACTGGGTCTCTGGTGCAGACTTCAGGCTGTGGGCTGTGGTCCAGGGTTCAGGCGAGAGTTTGAGGTGGCACCATCTCTGGGCACATGTCCCAGGTGCAGTGTCTCTGCTTGTAACCTGTCTTGAAGGCATAGGATGATTTGAGCTCCATTGTCCTGCATATCTGGGCGTCGGGGTTTATGACTTCTTTCTGTGCCACAGACAAACGTCATCCAGTGGAACTTGGTAGGAGTTAAACCCATTAAACCTGATGCCAGTCTTGTGAGGCCAGGGTCCTGATCCACCCAGAGGTGACATGGGCCAGAAACGCCCATTGACACTCAGTCCAGCTACCTTACAGAGGGGTCTTCTTTATGGTTGCTCAGAAACAAACACATAGAAAAGGTCAAAGGGAGTAATTTAGACCGTTTATCTATTCAACATTAAGTGCATTCTTTGGCTGTTATTTAGTCCAACTGAATGAGTTTACTGACATGAAAACCCATTTGGTAAAACTCTATTGCTCTTCATTATCCATTGGACTGTGTCCTTCTCAAAAATCTCACCAGAGTCCTGATCCCTTGTGCCTGAAACCCTGTTTGGAGACAGGACCCCTGTTGAAACCCTGCCCGGGGAGAGCTCATCCTAATCTCCCAGGATAACAACACCCTTACAGAAAGGGAGGAGCAGATAGTGCCAGATACAGACAGACACAGGAAAATGAATGGGGCTGGACAGATACAGCTACAAGTCAAAGGATGCCAAGAGCCCTCTGGAGTCACAAACAGAAGACTTTGCCCAAGCCTCGGAGATCACAGCCCTGCCCATGTGTTGGTACCCAACTTCCTGGCCTCTAGAACTGTGGGAGGGTGTTTTAGGTATCTTAATCCAATCAGTTTGTGCTTCTTTGTCCTGGGAGGGCGAGCAAAGGAGCGCCCACGTAGGAATATCACCCCCTGCCGTCAAAACTGCACACAAATGCTGGAAAGAAAAATGTCGGCCCTGTTCCGATTTCACTCAGGGGACTGAAACGGATGAAAGCAAACACCGTGTCTCCTCGAAAGTCATTTTGAGTTATTGCACGTTTAACTAGCAAATGAAAATCGGCCCAACTGAAAATGGGCCAAGGGTCTGAGTGGACATCTTCTCTAAGAAGATGTGCAAGCGGGAGGTGCTTAATGTCACAGGCTGTCAGGACAACGTGCACCAAAAAAAAACCCAACAACACATACACACAAGGAGCGCTGGTTAGATGGCTCGGCAAAGTGCCTGCTGGGCAAACAATGAGGACCTGAGCTCGCTTCCAGCGCTCACATAAGAGCAGGGCATGCTGGCACACGTCTGTAAACCCACTGTTAGGAGGGCAGGGGCAAGGCGGATGGATGCCTGGAACTCGTTGACTAGGTGGTTTAGCTGAACTGGTAAGTTCCAGGTTCAAGGAAAGACCCTGTCTCAAAAAGTAAGGCGGGGATAAAGAGACAGAGGAGGGCTCTTGGTGTTGGCCTCAAGCTGCCATGCGTGCAGGTGCCCATGCATTGCCTTGCACACAGGTGCGAGCAACCTGCACGTACAGTTGCGCACGCAACCGAAAGATGCTGCCGAACTCCGTTTGATGGCCGTCATCGAACGGATGAGATTGCGAGCGCTGGTGAGGGAAAGAAGAGGGGCTTTTGCCGCCATGTGTGTGCGGGGGGCCGGGGGCGGGATGCCAAGCTGCAGGTCTATTACGAAAACCGTGGCATGAGTTCCTCAGCACCCTGAAACGGAACCCTTCTGACTCTGGGGACAGATCCAGAGGAGATGAGACAAGCAGGTTGGAAAATCCATATTCAGCTCACAGTGGCAGAGACTTGGAGTGGCAGCCACTCGGCAGTTGAGCGGCTAAACTCACGGGACGCCCTGGAAAACATGGCAGCATGGGGTGGGGGGCGGGAATGACAGAGAAACAGGGCTGGCAGAGAAGAGCAAGCTCCCACAACCCCACCAGCACGTGACTCTAAAGGGCCACACGCAAGCGTGTCGGGCAGGACAGCCCTGGAGTTGAGTGTGTGCGTGCGTGAGAAGGGATGTTGGTTACTTGGGTGCCGCATGGGGTGCCGAGAGGCCGTCATAGCATGCTGTGTTCTGGGTCCTGGGGAGAGAGGTCCCGACCCAAAAATGGGAACTGAGTAAATGGGCGTGTTAATTCACCTCATTTCACTAGTCAACCGAACCGCTTGCGTGGGCCTTAAACACGCACAACGGAAGAAACACAATAAAACAAAAACCACTCTGCCAAAGCCCCCCGAGATCCAAGTAAAGGAGGAATCAGACCGTTTCTCTAGAAAGCACCCCTGGTCTGTTGGGTAGAAAACTACTCCCTCTACCCAGATGGCTTGTGAGGGACACTTTCATCCTGCCTTGGAGTTACCATCCTCATACCCTAGGCTGTCATCTCCTTACGGAGCCTTGTTTTTGCCATTTCAACCTTACTGCAG